CTTAAGAGAACCATGGACTACGGAATATTTTATAAATCACATCCTGCTACCGTTGAGGGTTTCAGTGATGCTGATTGGAATACTGAGTCTGATAACTCATTTTCTACAACAGGCTACGTGTTTACATTAGGTGGAGGAGCTATAAGTTGGCGCTAAAAAAAGCAACATATTATAGCTAAATCCACTATGGAGGCTGAGTTGATTGCACTAGCCTCAGCGAGTGAAGAGGCAAGTTGGTTGCGAGATCTACTATATGAAATTCCAATGTGGGAGAAACCAATGCCTCCTGTTTTGCTAAATTGTGATAGCAAAGCTGCGATTGGCCGGGTGCAAAATAAATTCTACAATGGTAAATCAAGAACCATTAGAAGAAAACATAGCACTGTGAGGTCATATGTGAACAATGGTGCTGTAACCATTGAATTTGTGAAATCGTGCGATAATCTTGCGGATCCGTTTACAAAATCTCTAGCTAGAGAAAAAGTTTTGACAACATCGAGGGGGATTGGACTAAAGCCTAAAGAATTGTAAAAGTTTTTGATGAGGATACTACCACCTAGGGACTAGAGATCCTAAGAACTAGGCGAAGAAAAACGAATCTGAAAGCAACTTGATTGTGATAAAAGTGCACACTTTTATTATCCAACCCTATGATGCGTGTGCACAAATAAAGCTCGTAACGAATTGTGAGGATGAGATTTTGATCTCTTAATGAATTCTATAGTCCTAATGGGTGGGGTGTTGGAGTTACGTAAACATCCTTGATAGAATTCACCTATGTGAGTGTGGAAGTGGGGCCGCTTTCTATGAGAATTATAGGCTATTCTCTAGAGCACTCACTAAAAATGGGGTAAGGCACAAGGCCGCTAATGTGCCGGCTTTAAGAAGCTTATTCGGGACACTCGAATATTATGTGTGCATTATAATTCTACGTACCCCAAGGATCACTGTTTCAAGGCTAAGTCCACTTTGATTCTAGTACGGGAAATATAATGAACTAAGTGAAGGTTTCAAGGCATTGCCCACTTTCATTATGCATAATATTCTCTTAAGAACTCAAAACATTAAATTGTTTTTAATTTATTTATAAAATAAGTGGGGGATTGTTGGAATATTTTATAAATAAATGTGCAATTTTCAAATCATATTCGGCTGACAAATGTGAAGATTTGTCAGTTACAAAAAATGATTTTTTAAGTCTCCAGACTTCAATGTTTTTGACCCAATATTAAATTATTATTTAAAGGCTACTTAAAGGCTACATACGTTTTTTACAAGTTACAAATCAGCATTTCAAAATTCAAATTCAAAGGCAATTATTTTATTTTAATTATACCATTTACTTCAAAAATAAAACGGCCCTGATTTTTTTTCATATAAAAGCTGCCATGCTGATTTCATTTTCAACCACTTCGAGGCCAACAAAAACTTCTCCTCTTTACCTACTAAATTGTTATCTTTTGAGTTCTTATAAGTGTCGGGTGCAAGCTTCTTGCTTCACTTGATAGTGCGGTTTCTTGTGAAGCTACAGCAACGAGATAGGCTGGGCTGTTGTATCCCATAGGCGACACGATTGCGACCTTACTGCACCTCAACGAGAAGGGATCGTGAAATTCGTCTTAAGAGAGCGACCTAGTCCGCGCCTCACCTTGCCTATCCGACGAGTTATTTACAATATTTCGAGCATATTCCCAACAAGATCTATTCAATTCCGCCCACCCACGGCCTACTCCACCCAGATCCGGCTACCTCCGGCGAATTTCGCGCAGATCCGGCCGCTATCAGTCACCGGCGACGTGTTTTAGATAAAAACCCGGGTCATTGACCGGTTTCCGGGTTCGCAGGGTTTTGCCAATCGAACCTGGTTTTTCGTATTTGACCGGGTTCTTGAATATCCCGGTTTTCGGCGTTAGATCGGACCGCTTTCGTGGCGGGTCGCGGTCCAGTCCGGTTCTTCTAACATTGGTTAAAAGGAAACAATTATTTCAAAGTCGTCTATCCTCCCCGTTTTCTTTTATTGTTAGTTAATAAGATCAATAATACCCTCTCATTTTCATAAATCGTAAGTCTCTCACTATTTCTTAGTGAATTATGCCAAAAGAAAAGCTCGAATCGGTATATATTTGTGACATGAAATATATGTTAAAACAATGATTTCTCTTATATATATATATATATATATATATATATATATATATATATATATATATATATATATTAAAATATTCCAACTAAAACAATGATTTCTCTAATATGTTTTCTGTTCATTCAGAGTATAATTTTTAATTTATGCATCTTCAAGATGTACACACGGATATCAATGTAAAAATAGTTAAATTTAATACACCTGAATATGATGAGATAAGTAACTTACCTTCAAATTAAAATCGGAAAAACGAAATCCAAACATTCAAAATGTTATACATATTAAGCATAAATAAAATCACTGCAATATATGGATAAATTAAACTAAGCATACGGTACTAGCTCAGCCTCTCTTAAATCCAAATGGTACGGTGGCGAGGCCGCGAAACGATGTAGAAGTAGAAGCTTCTTGTTCGGTGGTGCCCTCTTTCACATGGAAGTTACGGTGACATCCACATCCGGCGCAGTTTAGGTGGCTCTCGTAGTCTCTACCTGCAGGGGTAAACTCTTGGCAACCGTCAATGGAATTAGGTTCTTTAAATCATGCACTCCAAAAAGAAAAGAATCAAATATTCCTAAAAAGTAGGAACCACAATTTCAACCGGACAAAAATTAAAATCTCAACAACTTCCTATATAATAGGGAATAAATATATCTATTAATTTATTTTTAATTCAATTTTATTTAAATAATAATATATTTGATACTTATGAGTTGGAACACTATAATTTTTTGAAAGTATTAAAGTATTATATTAAGCATCAATTGAATGTTTGATACTCCATTTTAATGTCTACCATTGGAGTTGCTCTTACTCATGACCTTTCATTGTCTTTCTTGTGCTATATATAGTACCATGCAATGTTCTTTGTATACACAAGAAGAATAAGAGAATAATACACTTGCTTCTCTCTATATTACTATCTCATGTCCCTTTGCGTTTTTTTTATTAGTTTCTCAACATGTTATCAACACGATTGTTCAATTTTAGTTTTCGAGTAAAGATGATCCAAATTAAAGAAGATAACTTCTTAGCCATAGAAGAAAAAGGAGTTGATTTAAATATTTTATTCTTGTTTTCAGTTGATGAAATATTAACAATCGTATTTTTGTTGTAGGTGATTTTTTGCACAATTCATGAGGTCGGACTTGAAGTTCAGTTTCAGAAGTTGAGTTTCAGACCTGGTAACGTCCAAATTTGGAAAAGTGTAAAACACAAAAGTTAAGGCCTTTTCCATTAGTTGTTCAGAACATTTGTGAGTCATCAAAATCGGACGTCGATCTAGAGACATATTCTAAAAATACTCAGTACTCTGCCAAAGCTGTCATTTGTGCGCATCTTTTAGATGAACATGACATTCTAAAAATAAAAGGGACGATTATAGGCCTAGATCCTAGATTAAATACGATATTTGAAATCTCGATTGAGTATATTAGACTTTAAATGATAAGACTCTTGAAAATTTGAGTTAGTGGGTATTCCCCATTGATAGTATTATTCTTTCATGATCAAAGTACTATAATATTGAGGCTTGAGGCCCAAATCGAGTACATAATAATTCAAGTGATAAAACTCAAAATTTGAGATTTGAGTAGTATGTTATACTGTAAAGAACTATTCATTTATGGTGCAATGATATCCGAAGATTTGAGTTAATTATAGTAATATAATTTCATGACAAATACTATAACGATTTCTATGGACTCCTGAGACTCAATTCAAGTACATAATTTTAAGCATAAAACTCGAATCTTGAGATTATATATGTACTCGAAATGACTATTCATTTTTTATTCAATGATAGGAGACATACCATGTAATTTAAAATTATTTTTGATAGCTCAAGAAGAAACCTAAAGCTTTGGATCATTGAAGTTGAAGATCCATTTATATGTCATGAAGAAATAACAAATATTTCATAGATATGGTCTACTCACGCTCCTCGACGTTGCCATTGTCAAAAACCTTCCATACACAGTCACCCACACATGCACACACACCCACACAGTAGCACACAAAATCATACACATTCACACACAATATTCGTTTGAATAATAAGATCTACATATATTGTAAAAATGCACTTGGACGGATACGAACAGTAGTTGTTGGATTACTTTGTTTAGCTACAGAATTTGGGGGAGAGATGATTGTAAACAGGCATGTATTCCATGGTAGATGACCTTTGAACTAAGCTCTCATTGTACTCTCCACTGTATGTTTTTCATGTGTTTTATATGCTATGTAACTAAGCTTTTCCGTGTAGGGGTGTAAATGAGACAAGCCGGCTCGCGAGCTTCCGGAGCTTGATCGAAAAAAGCTCGTACTTGAGCTCGAAAAATCGAGCTCGAGCTCGAGCCCGAGCTTTTCGAAGAGCCGAGCTCGAGCTTCATTTCAGTTGTTCGACAGCTCGTGAGCCGGCTCGCGAGCTTTACCTTTTTTATATATTTTTTTAATACATATAAATATATATAATAATGGATATTATTAATAATAAATAAAAAAAATTATATTACTTTTCTAATTGAAAAAAAAAAGATTAATAAAACAAATATAGTATCAGACTAATGCTAAGATATTAACATTCGAATAAAAAAAAGAGATGTACTTTATTAGTTAGTTTTATACTCTTGTAATTTGTTACTTGATTAAAGAAAAGAAAATTGAAATTAAACACAAAAGACAAATGAAAAAGTGGAATATGGTCAGTCTTCATCACTCTTCAGTAAACAACCAAACGCCGTTTCCCTTAGGGTTTGGTCTTCTCTCTTCAAAGTTCAACTTCAAAATTTTCTCTTTGGATTTCACTTTCAATTCTTCAAATGTTATTCTAGCAAAATGGTAGAGTGCGTTAATGATTTTTGAAAACACAAGTACAAAGGCAGCCCAAGAAATTGGTGGTTTGTGCAACGACGACCGAGATTTGTCCAAAGGCGAAGGTGGTTCCTCTTTAACATTCCAAAATTAAAAGGAAACATAAGGATAGGTAATCTTCAAAAAATTCTTCCTATTTCGTTTTTAAAGAATAGGTGAATGTAATAGTTTTTTTCTCTACATGCATAGAATATGTGAAAGTTTGACCCAAAATTTGATAGTTTTTTCCTCTACATGCATATCAGTTCACAGTGGAAGTCTGAAATTCTTGTTATAAGAATCTGATTTACGACTTTGGTTAAAGATAATAAAAAATAAATCATTGAACAACACTTAAATTCACTAACAATTATTGACATGTTGCCTTTGTTTTTTGCAGTTATGTTGCTTGGTGATACTATTGCACATCCTGGAGAAGCAACGGGAGCAACGGGACAGGATAATAATATGAATGCACATTTAAATAGTGAAGATCATGCCGATGTAGGTATTACAACAGATGGTGCCGTGGAGAATAGAACCGAATCAACTCACATTAATAAGCGACAAAAAAAATCACCTATCTGGGCAGATTTTACAAAGATTAAGGATGATAATGGTGTCACCAAGGTGTGTTGCAACCACTGTAAAAAGCTATTTACAAGGAACAAGACTACAACAACTCAATTCCACAGGCACTTGCAATCATGTCGTGTTTTTCAAAAAGAAAAGGCTGCACGAGATAAGGGTAAATTTTCACAAACACAAATTGGTTTTCTTCCAACAACTGTAGAGCTATCTTTTTTTCCAGCATTACGTGATGGGAAATTTGATATGGAAAAAATGAAAGAAGCGGTAGCTCATTGGATTGTGATGCATGAGCATCCTTTCTCCATTGTAGAAGATGAAGGATTTAATTTGATGCAGAGACTGGGAATGCCTGAGTGGAGATCATTTACTAGAATCACGGCAAAAATTATTTACGTGAAAGTGTACGACGTGGAGAAGCAGCAGCTGAAAGTTGTATTGAAGAATGTGAATAAAATTAGCCTTACTACAGACTGGTGGAAGTCGAAGAATCAAAAAATTGAGTACATGGTCATAACTGGTCATTGGATTGATCAAAGCTGGATTTTACAAAAACGTACGCTCAACTTTGTCCATCTTCCACCCCCTCGTCGAGGTCTTGATATTGCAAATGCTGTCTGGCGGTGCTTGGAAGAATGGGGAATCGATTCTAAGGTTCACACTATATCTGTTGATAATGCTTCAGCGAATGATACTGCAATTGACAACTTAAAGATTTTTATCGAAAGTAAAAAAAAAACTGCTTTGTGAAGCAAGTTTGTTCCATGTCAGGTGTCGTGCACATACTCTAAATTTGATAGCACAAGATGGTCTTTCTCAGATTAAAGACATCATAGAAGTTGTCCGTGATAGTGTCGAGTACATTCGACGATCAGATGCAAGATTGAAGATATTCTCGGAGATTGTGAAGCAATTAAACTTGCGAGATAGAAAGTTGGTAGATGATTGTCGGACAAGATGGAACTCTACATATGAGATGTTAGCAACTGCTATCAAATTTAAAGACGTGTTTCCACGGTTTGCAGATCGAGAGCCTCATTTTGAAAAATGCCCAACTAATGAAGATTGGAAAAAAGTTGAGAAAGTGTGCTCGGTATTGAAGGTGTTCTGGACAGCTACACATATCATTTCTGAAAGTGATTATCCAACCTCAAACTTATTTCTTAATGAAGTAAGTAGAGTGAAGGTAATGTTGGATCAAAAGTCATCAGATACTGATTCTTTCATCCAGGAAATGGTCAAGAAAATGAAAATCAAGTTTGATAAGTATTGGGGGGAGTCTGATTTACTTATGTCTGTAGCAACTGTGTTGGATCCTAGATGTAAGATGAGGGCACTTCAATTTCGTTTTCCCAAGATTTATGGGCCAATACAAGGCGAGAGAGAAATTATACGTGTTCGACAAACTCTATATCAACTTTATGCCGAGTATTCGGCGCAACAAAATAGTGAAGAGTCGAGCGGGGAGATAGGAAGCGGAAGTTCTCAAAATCAGCAGGGTAAAAGCTCTGAATCTTTATGTGGTTGGTCCGAGTATGTTGATTATTTGAAGTCCGTGGAATCAGCTCAACCAAAAAAATCCGAGCTTGATATGTATCTTCAAGAAAAATGTTATATGTCCAATAAAGAAGATGGACGAGAATTTGATGTTTTGGAGTGGTGGAGAGTTCATGCCATGAAATACAACATATTATCAGTAATGGCAAGAGACATTTTAGCCATTCCGATCACCACAGTTGCTTCAAAGGCTTCGTTTAGCGCTGGAAGTAGAGTAATCGACAAATATCGTGCCTCATTGGCTCCGGATACAGTGCAAGTTTTGATGTGTGGAGGAGATTGGTTGAGAAAAAAATTTGGGGTAAAAAAGAAGTCCAAGGTAAAATTAGAATAATTGATTGAATTATTCATTATTTTTATGTCTTTGTTTAGTATTCTTTGTTTTTTGTTGCAGAATGAGAAGAAAGCAATACAAGTCTTTCTTCCGGTTGATGATGAAGTTATCATGATTAACGTGGATTATGTGTTGCGTTAGTAAGTTTTGTATTGTTTTAGTTGTTCTATAGGATAATGACAAGAAAGCAATATTGTGTGTTTGCTACTAATTTGGGTAATGTCTATTTGCAGATTTAAAAACCATAATTTTCGTAAGTGGATTAGAGTACTCAAGTATAATCTGCCAAGTTTGAAGGATCATGGAGTTTGGAGTGCACAGATGCATTTTGGATATCAGCCTTTTGAAAATATAAATTAAGTACATTTTGTGGAGATTATTTTTTTTTTTTTGGATAAAAAATGTTTAGATTTTCTGGCATGAGTGCATTTCTATATTTTCTTAATTATGGAGATGATTTTTGTGGATTTATTCAAATTTTCGTCGTATTTTTGTTTTCAATTTTATTGCATAATTTTACTTACTTGCAGTTTGTTCCGATTTGATGGATAGGTTAATTAAATGAAAATTGAAAATTTGGTTGTGCCGAGCTCGAGCTTGAGCTCAAGCTCGAGCTCGGGCTCGTTTTGTATACGAGTTCGAACGCGAGCTCGAGCTGAAAATTATAGGCTCATCGAGCTCGAGCTCGAGCCTTGTATAGTTGTAGCGAGCTCGAGCTCGAGCTCACAAAATAAGGCGAGCTCGGCTCGAGCTCGGCTCGTTTACACCCCTATTTCCGTGTAGTCTCCACTGTAATTTTTAATGTGTGTATACTTCTTTGTCTAAACTCGGCAAATAAGCTCTCTATGCAATATATAGTGTGTGTTGTGGAGTGTTTCTATTCATTTACTGTCAATTTTTGACACCAACTTGTCGAAAAATGTAAAAAAGAATAACAATAAATAAATAAATATGTGAATTTCAACATGTATGTGTAGAAAAACCACTGCTGCTTAATTAAAAAAAAAATTAACAGCAACGTTGGTTATTCGACACATACATGTCGAAATTTGCTCAAAATTTTGACATGTATATTACAAAATTCACTTTTTTTAAACGTTTTTGCGACAAGTTTGTGTTGACAATTGGCAAAAAATGCGACCTCTATGTGTCAAAAGCTGTCGGCGGTTTAAAAAAAATAATACTTCAAAATCGACTTCCAAGCTCTAAAAAGACATCGATACATACTTTAACGGGTTCTCCTTCCATGTAAACTACAATTTTCTTGTCTTGTGACTCCATTTTGTAAGTTTGAGGTTTTAATTTTTTCGGATTTTGAGGTTTGGAAGGTTTGTTGTGAAGGAGTGGGAGGACGGATTTGTGAAGATGGAGAGGGGTGTGACATGTTTTGTATTTTTGGTATTGAAAAAAGAAAATAAGATTTTTAATGTTTGTGTGATATTGATTTCATTAAGAATATTTGTGTCATTACCTATATATTATTTAATTTACACACTCTATATTTGTCTCTTTTAAGCGGAAATTGATGTTTATTTTGGGAAATTTAGATTTTCATCCCTCATGGTTTACCCAATTTCACTTTTGGTCCTCGTTGTTTCAAAGTGAACAAAATGCACATCAAAAGCTCAATGTTAAACACATTTGATCTCATACGTCACATGGCCGTTCACATCTAACGAAAAACACTAATTTGGGACTAAAATTGAAATTTAAAATTGTTTTTGGGTTTCGTGTTGTCACCTGAATTTGAATTGAATTTATGAATGGGGTTTCGTGTTGTCACCAGTACTTGGGTCGGTCAAATTAACCAAAATGAAGATTGATGGACACAAAATAGTTAAGAGGAAACAATTAGGTCAAAGTCTCTAACCATATTTTTTTGTTAAATTAAAAAAAACTAGTTCTTTGACCCGTGCGATATGATTGAAATAAAATTAATGCAATATAAAATTCCATTTAAATCCTAATATTGAGTTGTTAAAATTACAATAACTTACATTTCAATCACATCAAAAGTAAAAGTCAAAGGTAACGAAAAACATATTTCATCTTAAAATGCTTAATCTTCGTGCTGAAAATTTTGAGAACCTAGTCTCGTTCGAATCCACAAATCTTAAAAAGACATTTAAAAGTTGTCGGTAAACAACTTATTTTGATTAGTAACTACAACATAAATAATCCAATGAGTTCTTAGATTATTAAAACTTATTTTAATACAAAATAAAGATGAAATATGACAAAAGAAAATAATATCAGTTGAAGTTCATAAAAATAAGGGTAAACTCCAATTTTCCCCCTTCTACTTTTTTAAGCAATGGTTTAGCTTATTTAATATTTTATTAAGGGGAAACTATAGTTTGCACACATAAACTATGGGGTATGTCACAAACACCCCCTGAACTACAAAACGTAATAAAATAGTCCCTCCATTTCGAATCTGTTAGTGGATGATGATGTGGCGCATTAACTTTATTATTTCTAGCCAATTTTTTACCCGTTGGAACCTTTTTTGACCCTTTTGCCCCTCAGACTAGTATATATATGTTTGTGTGGATTAAAGAGGTTTTCAACAACTTTTTTATTCATCATTTTTTCTGTAAATTTCTTCATTTTCCATTATTTTCACCTCCGAAAAGTTTCTCCTGTTTTTTCCTTCATATAAACAACGCTCATGATACCCCTCAAATGTTGAAAAATGTCGAGTAATAGCTCAAATTCACAAGATTATTGTTATTCATGTCACAAACAGAATCAAAACTCCCCCATAGTTAATCCTAAGTGTATACAGCTGATCACCCAACATGTTTTCCTACAAAAAAAGAAAAAAAAATTAATTAATCAAATGCACATAAGATGCAGAAGAAAAAAAAACCCCCAAAATTAAATCTTAATACCAAAATAAAGAAATCCCCATAAAAAATAACATTATTTATGAAAATGGTTCTAGTAAATACTAACTTACCAAAAAAATCCAAAAATTAAATCTTAAGACCAAATCAAATTATTTGTCAAAAAATTCGAAAAGGATTTCTGCAAAACCTAATTTTCTCAAAATCATGCTTTAATTTTGTGAGAACTCTAATTTACCATCGAATGGACAAAATAAACACCATAAACACAAGAAATTTGTTTCTAAAACAAACCCTGACATAACTACGAAAAAAAGAGGGGGAATTAACCAAGTCGCGATTTGCAGTCAAAAGCCCTAAAAGCAACACTAACCTTTGTCTCTCTTCAGATTTCTTGATTTTTTGCCTCCAAATTTCTTCTGACGTCTTGAGACATCAAAACTTTCAGAATGATTTAAACCATGGAAGAATTTCAACTAAGAAATCAGATTTTTGGAAAATTTTGATTTTACGTTCTTAGAGTGAAAGAGAAACGTTTTTTGTCTAAGTAAGAGGAATCACAAGTCTGCACACAATACATATCATGTTAGAGTCACAAGGGTACATAAGTAATTACTCTTAAATTAACTGTGTTAATTTTCTAACGTTTGACCAAAAAATGGAGGGGGCCATTTTGTAGTTCAGAGAGGTGTTTGTTTGTAACAGACCCCATAGTTCAGGGATGCAAATTGTAGTTTCCCTTTTTATTAACTTGAGCATATTTTTTTATTGGTTATAATGGCATATCATTTTTTTTATAATTAAAATCCATCATAAAGGCTTGTTTTAGGAGTTTGAATATGTTGGGGGTCAGACTTGCGTTGAGAGAGATGTTTACCTTAATTTGATCTGCTACTTTGAGATACTTGATTTAACTAAAGAGAATTGGTATCTAGTTACTAATGTGGTTTGGTTAGGATTCCCATATGAAATTGAGTTCATGATGACAAGTAGAGCTGGACATTATAGTGAAATTAAAAATAAAATTGAGCAAAAAAAAAAACGAATTTCGAATAAAAAATAAAGGTAAAAAAAGGGGACACGTGTAAGCTTTCAACCATTACACAGTATATATAGTCAACAGGGAGGTAAAAAGTTCAAGGCAAATCTTATAATAAAGTTGGTAACAAGAAAGTCAACAGATCACATCAACATATTTAAACGGAATGCAAACTGTGAGAGGGTATTTTGTATGTTTTATAATTGAGTGGTGTGTTTGCGACACACCCCATAATTCAAGGGTGCAAAGTGAATTTTGCCATATATATTATGTTTTCATAGATTATATTTTAATAAAAGTCTACAATTTTCCTTAGCAAATAACCCTTATTAAGCAATTCCAATGATCATATTTTGTAGATATATCATATATATACTTATAATTTATATTAATTTATCCAGTTATATATATATATATATATATATATATATATATATATATATATATATATATATATATTCGAGTATCCCTAAAAAACAATTTGGGGGCGCTGCCACAAACCCGGCAACATGTAGCTCACTTCTAATCAATTATTGGCTCTACCATTGAACGCATCAATAAAGTCTGAAAAGTATTCTCATTTCAATCAAGTTAAGTTCATGATTTCATGAATTTTACAATATAATAAATAAGTGCACTTGACATTTGAGAACACACGAAAGAAAGCACCTCGTCACCCTTGTAGGGTCATCATAACACACCGATACCAACATTTAATTTGAGGCAAATACCAATTATTCTTCGATTAAAAAAAAAAAAAACCTTTAAGAAGTTGAACCCACTCGTTTGGAAACCTCATCCCGATGAAAGGCCTTGTGGCAGCCACATGCGGCACATTCTAATGTTGCCGCCTCGTCGTGGTCTCTAGGGTAGAATTCTTGGCATCCATCCCGCGAATCTTCTTTAGTAAAATCATGGACTCTCTTACAATATGTGTAGACGACCTCTGTTCTCCATTCAATCACCTTCCGGTGGTAATTCCGGTGGCAGCCGCAGACCGTGCAGTCAAATGGCCTGAACGAATTTGGCATGAACTCTAGGCAACCGTCCTTTCCCGGCCCCAAATATTCATGGGTTTTGTTACATTCTCCGTATTTGTCTTCCATCGTTCGATCTTCTCCCATCTTCCCTTCGTTTCCGGTGAGGACATCTATTTTTCTTTTAATTTTTTTATATGTTATTGTTTTCTTTGGGATAGTAGAGGGCCATTATTTGATAATTATGACATTATTTAAACTTTTCAATCATGCTAT